TACACCTTGTTATCTAAGTACAAGGTTTGTTTGCTATGTGCAGCGGAATTATGCAATATACTGCATATATGATGCAGGACGTGAAGTTTATTTTTAAGTATCTTAGACCACTTGCTCTGTGTTACACCACGGAAAGAGCATGAAGAGAGTTCCTTTCTGATGGCTGTCACTATAATATTTTCAGTTTGATGGATTTTGGTTTAGTGACCAATATTTTTGAGGAAATTCAATGGTGTCATTAACTAAAACTTTCGATTGTGTGCCTGCAGTTTTTAATTCTATCTAGCTAAATTGAAATGCCTGGAAACAACCTTGAAATTGCCAGAGATCTATGAATTTCTCACTGAGCTATTTCTTTGGCTATTAACTGACAACTTTTCTGTACTAATATTGCAAAATTTACTTCTGTTTACTAGCTATAGGAAGATTGTGTATTCAGTTACCTGACTTGACAGATTGAGCCCTTTTTTTTGGATAAAAGATTATTGATTTATTTTTCTTTTTAAGTTTCAATATTCTGGTTATTTTAATACACTGTCAGTATACTAAAACCAGCAGATTTTATTGATGAATAATTACATAGATTATACAGTAAATGTTCTAAAACTCCTCAAAGTAGCATCAGGAAGAATATGCTGACATTGGAGTGAGGTGCAACACATTAACCAGAATGACACCAAGGTAAAGCAGTTAAATCATGAGCATAGGTTGCCTGAAGAAAAGTTGTAATCCTTTTGAATATGGAAGATTCAGGATTGATCTAGCTGAGGTGTTTAGGATGATGAAGTGATTTAGATAGTGTGGCACTAATTCCCTTATTTTCTTTGGTGATGGTTTTCAGAAAAACAAGCCAGAGCTTTAAAATCTTAGGTAGGCTGTTTGGAGGTGATGTCAGAAAGCACCTTTTCATGTGAAGTCTTGTAGAAAACTTGAAAATTTCTCTCTTAAGGCGAGGTCAGTTGAAAATTTTTGATTTTTTTTTTCTGTTAACCAAGGACATTTGAGTATTACAGAACTAAAATGGCTAGATCAACCATGATCAAATTGTATGGTAGCATAAGCTTGAGCGATTGAATGGCTTACTAACGTTCTTATGTGTCTCTATTTCACATGTCCAACAAGAAGATTCTTTATTTCAGTTATTATTCACCCCCGCATTGCTGAATTTGGCTAAATTATCCATTTAAATCACTATCACAACTGTTTTATTTCATTTAAAATTCTAATTTGAACTTACCTGATCTCTTACACTTTGCATTTCATGTGATGAAGATATTTGAATTCTATTGGATGAACTGCAGGAGTTCTGCTATAACACGATAGATGTATTCCTGTGAAATGATGCATTATAGAAAATCACACTGTAGAAATAACAGGGCCTATGGGAAAAGGGGGTTGGGGCAGATCAACAAAAAAAGTCACTCAAAATGATTCATCACTCAAAAGCGTAACACAAAGGATAGCACAGTTTGAACAAATGTTTAATTCACATGTAATGAAAAAACAGTAAATTTATTACCTTATCTTGAAAAAATGTCGAGATGACTTCACGGGGGAGGTGGTTCTGAGGTAGCTGTGTTGTTAATGCAGGAGCTGAGGATTGTCGTCATCACCTGCCGCCTCCGCCCCCTTCAGGGGCAGTTTCGTTTGCAGGGTTAGGGCGAAGGATAGTTAATCCAGAAATGGGTAGCTGTTGTCCATCGTCTTCTGACTATTTCTTGGGGGTTGGCTTAAAAAAAGATATCCAGCTTTTGCTGTTTTACCCCTGTTCTTTGTTCGTCATGAACTGCTACCCTGCTGCGTTCTGCATTGTAATCGTTGTCCTCTATTCATTGCAGCTGGTTCTCAATTTCCCCCAGGATAAAGACAAAACAGAAGTGGAAAGCTGTCATGGTGCTGCATCCTGGATTTCACCTTCTTCATGTCCAGCTTCCACTTCCCCCTCAGTGACAAATTGTTATAGATCAGCTATACAGAGGTCTTCATAGTGGGACTCGAGCAGTTCTTCAACATCCTCACTCTCCACTTCTTCAACATCCTCACGCTCCACTTCTTCAATCCAGCTTGCTTTGCAAGATCAACACAATGTTCTTTAATTCTTGGGAGCTCCTCTGATGGATCAAAGTTTTTTAAATCTTGAAAAAAGTCTGGGAGAAGCTTCTGCCAAACTGCATGCGAGCAGCCCTTACTGACATCACCCCAGGCCTCCATGATAATGTCAATTGCATTCTTGATGTTAAAGCTCTTCCAAATTGAAGAACACTGCCCTTCTCTCCCTCAGTGGTTGCAGTCAGCCTCTTAAATGTGGACCTTACATAATAAGCTTGAAAAGCTGCGATTGCACTGTGGTCCATGGGTTGAAGGAGAGAGGTTGTGTTTGGGGGTAGAAATAAAACTTTGTTTTCAGAAAGCTCACCAGTGGTCTGAGGATGGCTTTGCGCATTATTCAGGATGAGGAAAATC